TTTAGTTTTATTTGTTCTCTTATTTTCTCATTCTCTCTCTCTCTCTCTCTCACACACACACACACACACACACACACACGCACACACACTCAAACTTCCTCAAAACCCCCTCCCATTCAGCAGAATGGAGATCCATTTCACACCAAATGGTCTATTTCCTTTCTCCCCTCTGCATCACCATTTCATGGTGGGCTTTTTTATTCCTAAGGGATTTAGGGAGAAAACAAGTCAGAAAGGTCCTTTACTGGTCTCAGACATTTGAAAAAAAGCTGTCCTTGTCCTCTCTCCAAGTTAAAGTACTTGCTATAAATAATTGGAGATTCAGGAACCATTCTGTCAAATCTGGCTTTAATTAATGATTAATCTAATATGAATCTATGGTGGCTCCATGTTTTTTGTTTTGTTTTCTAACTTAAGGAAGTAAAACATTGTTCAAAATGGATATGGATATGACTCAGACATTAACTCTGAATTTAGAATTTATTGTTGATTGATTAGTACATTTAGTGTATTCGTAATATTAAGGGGTATATCTCAAACATGTACACATGTGTAGAGATGTTTGTGTGTGTATGTGTGTTTGTGTGTGTTTGTTCACACTGTCAGGAAATACCCTGATTCAGAGCAACAATGATTGAGGCCCACGTGAATAAATTAACATTACTATTTCTTCTAGAAATAACATATTTGCTTGCCAACATATGAGCTATCCATGTGATCTTTAATATATACAAATAAAGCATATTTTTGGTTCATGTAGTAAACACAGTGAATCTGTAAGCAATATATATATTTCAATCAGAGTTTGAAAAAGACAAATGACAAAGACGAGCAGGAATATAGAGAAAAGAGGGACTTGAGAAAACTAGACAATTTATCGGTGTAAAGTGGTAACATTTTGTAGTATCTGACAAAGAACAAACAAATATAACTCGCTTTAATAGGCTTTCATTTATAGTTTCTAAGCCCCAATCAAAGTCTTCTTTTGTTCCATAAGATAGTGGAAGAGGCATATATTGGTCTAAGTTCCCCCTCAGAAGTAGACCCTGAGACAAGGAGCACAAGTAGTTTAATTAGAAAGTTTATGAAACTTGAATGAAGGAGTAAGGAAGTGAGACAGAGAATGGAAGGAAAGAAATTATCCATCATTAACACAGTTACCACAGTGGGAAAGTGGAGCTGAATCCACTCTGCAAGACATTGTGTATGAATCACTCCTCAGAATTATCCCATCCATTGGATGAGGAAGCTACAATACTTACCCACCAACTCCCTCATCCCTCACCTGTTTCTGGGGATTATTAACAACCTACCACTCTGATTTATTTACTTTGAGGCCAAGCATGTAACTATAGCTAGAAATAGTCCGTAGGCAGAGACTCACAGGTACAAAAAAACAAAACCAAAACCAAATAAAAAACCTCTCAGGCAAGGAGTTGCAGGTTTTTGGAGTAACCAGCTTTTAGAGGTGGTTGTTCAGAGGACAGGAATCAATACCCACCCCTATGAGGGTCAGAGATACTGAGTTAATTTCAAGTGCCTGTGTATACAAGTATTTTGAATCAAGCCTTGTTTCGTTGTATGTGTTTGAAAACTTTAAACAAAACTATTATTGTTTTTGTATTAGTATTTAGGCATTTGAATACGTAACATCAAAGATGATCTTAATAAGAATAAATCAAATTAATTTAATTTATCGGAAAATCAATTGTGTGTGTATATATGTATACTTAAAATTCTCTGTAGACTGCCATTTGAAATAAGCTTGGGGTGAAATTTAAAGATATTTTTCTACAGGCTGTTTATTTATAATGGGTTTTAAAATACTCATTGTATTATAAACCTTTAAAACAAAATGTTTGTCTTCTGAAATCTATAGAAAGTATTCCTTAAAAGTCACTCTCAATTACCACTTCTAGAGCTAAGTGGTAAAACTATTGTTTCTTTACCAACCAAAATGTGATTTCACCAAATAAAAGACAAAATAACCCTCATGATTAATTTTACTTTCTCTTGATTTAGGAAGAAAAAGAGAAAGTTCTGCCTATGAGTAATTCAATCATTTCAGCAACATAGCAAAAAAAGAAGGCCTAGAATTCCCAGTTAGAGGGAACTTTAAAAGTTCCACTTACTCCTCAGGGCCTGATCTGTGTCAATTCATTTATTCATCCATTTTCCCAATATATAAGACCTATGAAGTGAATAAAAGACAATAATGTGGTATTTTTCATGGGCATATGTTTCTTACTATTTGTCCCCTCTTTTGACTATGAATTCCTTGAAGCAAGCACTACTTCTTTATTTATTTCTGTCTATCACGGCAACCCATAAATATTTACTGATATATCTTCATAAGTATGTGATACTACTCTAGATAGTATTTATTTGGGATTTATGAGGCATTGGATTAAGTTGATAATATCATATTTACAGTTGATATTGCTTGGAAGGACACATCTTACATTTGTGGAACCCTTAACAAATGTCACAGTGTTGGTATTTCCCTTATAAGTTGTTAACTGTGAAGCTGCTGTGGAAATGTATGAACTAGTTTTATTTTCAACTCTCTACTCTAAATTTCCTTTGAAATCAAGACAGATTTTGCCATCTCTTAATCCTCCTCTAATCTCTGTTGACCCCTCTCACTCCAACACTATCAGACCCTCATCTCTTCTATTAAAAAACCTGAAGGGTTAACTCACCTATTTACATTTAATTATACTCCCAACTCTACGTTGACTTTTTGGTAGACATAAGAAAGTATGAGTTCCCAGTTACTATATGTACTGTATATAGTGTTTAACGATGACACATGATGACTCAAATTAAGGCAAAAAATTTTATTTATCTGCACAAAATTCTTTTTTCTGAATTAACATGGCAGCTGACCCTGTCCAGCCTAGTGAATTTAAACTTGCTTTTAAATGCTGGAGAGTAAATTTGTGTGTGTGTGTGTGTGTGTGTGTGTGTGTGTATTTGCACTCATGTGTGTATGTATTACTGATTGATAACTGTACCAGATCTTGAATTAATATTTGGCAACATCAACATTAATTGTGTAAGATGTGTAAGAGAATGGCTCAAAAAGGTTAAGCATGACCTCTCCAAACATCAACTTACATCTGCAAAATAACAAATAATTATAACTACCTTAAAGGGTTGTTTTGAATATTGGAAGAGAAAATTTAGTTAAAGAACCAAGTAGATAACAGGTGTTGAATAAATGCTGGTTTCCTTCTGTCTTCTCTTGTTTAACTAACCAAATTACTCATTCGACTAGTCACTTAAGACTTTAGTTAACAATTAACTAAAAATAACAATGAAATTTCAAAAAAATTAAGTCCACTAGGATTTGGTTTTATGCATGGATGCAGTAAGCATTTGCTATTTCATCATAATTAATTCTCCTCAAATTTCTTCATTAAAGGCCTGAAATATTTACCATTGAAAATTAATCTCACTGGGTTAAGTGATTGTTATTTTTTATACCTACTATTAAAATATAAATATCTGCTATTAGCCCACTGTTGCATTAGACACTCTACATAAAGGAGTTTCTCTGAGATTAATAAAATAGTAAATCAATGAGTCCTAAACAGTGGTTAAAAGAAAATCTGGTAACATAACCCCCACTCCTACCTCAAACGTATTTTGTTTGACTTCACAGTGTCGGCCAGGCAGTATTTTTTAAATTTTGAATTAGCACAAACATTTAAAATAGGAAGATGTCTCACATAATTTTAAATTTCTCTTTACAAATTAGAAAAGTTAGTCACACTGGCCTCTCATTTCTGGAAGATGAGCTACTCCTTCTTAAAGAGTATCTTTTTATGAACATCTGATTACCCCAATAAAAATCTTCAAATGGTTCAATGACCCTTTGCCATGCTTTCGGTGCCACCGGAAAGAAAAAGTGCAAGGAAGGGACAGTATTATTTTTGTGGCTTTTGCTCCCATTTGCTTTAAAAATGCTTCTTTTTCCATTAATATCTGAAGATTTCTGGGTTTCTATTAGCCTTCAGTGATAACTACATTTGAAAGAATCCAGGAGACACAACTCCTAAAACAAACTTTTTAAAACTCTTAACAACAGTCACAAAATTCTGTTAAACTGTTCTGAGTCCTCAGCCTTAAAAGACACAAAGAAAATGTTTCCTTCTGGAACCATAAATACTCTTGAAGCAGAATTATAATAGTACATCTGTAGTAATTTATTAATTCCAGAGCAAATTCTAACAATTGAACAAAAGAGAAACACTTTTTTAATAGTAAGAGTTAACATTTATTGAGCCCTTGACTATGTGTTGAGCAACAACTAAGCATTTTACTTGTATCATTTAATGTAATTCTCCCAACCACCCCGATTATACCCACTTTAAGACTGAGCCAACTGAAGCATGGAAAAGTAAAGCAACATGTAAGGGACCAAGTTGGGAATTATACTCTGTCACTCTGACTCCAAGGTGTTTCTAACCACTATCCGATGCTGCTTTCTCTGTATAGCTCAGTGTATTAGCCTCAGTGGTTCAATTTGAGCCTTCGAGATCTATTTAAGGATGAAAAATATAGTTGCATCACCTCATTATTTGATCAACCTAAAGACAGAACCTCCATTTTGCATAATTCCAAAGACACATTTTTCATTGTGGTTTGTGTAAATGGTTCCTCCTATAGTTATACAATGCATAGCTGGCACAGACAGATGTTGTGGCCCTGCTAAAATGATCCCTCACACAAAAGGGTTTTACTCTTTATTTTTTAAAATAATTTTTAGTGAGACTGGCTGCCCCCAAGAACAGGCTCTACTTAGGTCTCTCCTTATACTAGCTATCAAAGGTCAGCATAAAGTTTTCACAGTTATTTTACAAAACCTAAAGACTGTTAGGCATTTTCTCAGGGTAAATTGAAATTCTGTATAGCCATTTCTTCTTTTTCCAGTTATGTCAGCTAATAGTTGAAGACAAATGTTCTCAAAAATGATGTCTAAGGAGCTAGAGACAGATTGTTTACCAGTTTATTTCTCCAGGACAGGAGAGTGTGGTGGTGACTTTTTCATGCTGTTGCAGAGCTTAGAGGGAAATGGTGATTCATACAGTGACGCTGCAGCCAGATTGTGCCCAGTGGTGTGTAATTCCTATTGAGTCAGGAGAATCGCTCAAACGTAGTTGGAGAAGGGCAAGAATTTCTCAGCATTACTGAAGACATTATTTCCATTATAGGACCTATCAGTTAACAACAAAAGTGAGGAAAATGTGTTGAGAACTCTGTTGACTATCATAAAGCTATTGCAAAGAACACATTCCATTTATTCTTAGAAAACAAAGTTCATTTCAGAGAAAAAATATTGATAATACCCACTGAATCAATCGAACAGAACAGGAGCCAGAGAATTAAACTCAGATGTACCTGTTTCACTTGGGGCTAAAATCTTCTGTGCATGTTTCCACTTTCTGTAATTGGTATGGAAACCTAACCCCAGTTCAATACTATATTCCTGGGATTGAGTAAAATGAGTAAAAAAAGACAGTAAAAAAGTTAGCCCTCATTAGGACTCTCATACTTCTTCCTCCACTATGGGAATAATGCTGGGGCCCCAGCAACTGTCTTAGTTTATAAGTCACATCAGGTATTTTAAAGAACAATTTAACACATGATTTTGATACAACCAGACAATAGTATTATTGTTTTAGTTTGATCCTTCGAGTACCCAAACCCTGGATTCACTCTCTCACAATCTCATATGTTTAGTTATTATAGAGAAAACCTTAAGTAGAATAGTATTTGTCTTCTCAACTAAACTATTAGATCTTCAAGAGTAGCAACCACATCTTGTGTTTTTTTATCATCTGTGATATCAAGTATGAGCTGGATCATGAGTAAGTCCCTGCAGTGAATGTTTGAAGACTTACTTCATCTCATTAGCAAAGTAAAGTATAACTCATAATTATCAAAGTACTGCAAGGAATAGCACACTATCTGGAAATACTAAATATGTCTCCTTTGTGAATCACTTCTTGCCAGAATTCCCTTTCTTCCCAGATTCCATCGCCAGGTCAATGTTGCCCATGGCACATAATGTGGTCGTCTATATTTAGAGCCTATGAGCTTTTTATGGGCCTATGGAAATATTTGAGAACTGAAAAATAAAGTAATTAACTCCCAAATACAAAAAAAAGACAACTATAAAATCATGATTAAAGTTTAATTAAATGTTCAAAGAATAACTATGTCAATTTTAATAATTATCAAATAGGTATTCATAAAAAACTTTATTACATTTGAAAAAAAAAACTTGTGGGCTGAATATTTTTTTACTTCACAAGTTTTCTTGAGCATCCTGGATGATTACAGAGAAATTAAGGCCAGTCATTAGTTAAATGAGTTTAATAGTAGCCAAATGATTTCAAAAGCAAAATTATAAAGATGTTTTCTAGGTTTTATAACAAAAATATTGTATAATGTGGGAAGTGGGTCCATTTTGATATGTCAGATATGATGTGTAGTGTGGCCTACAAAGGTGTTAAACAGCTCTGCCTAAGCTACTACCCATTCGCAAGATTGCTGTTTTTAAAATAACTTTTTAAAAATTGTATTGATATTCTAAATCGCTGCACTTTAATTATAATTTAAAATTGCTATAAGGCAACTCAAGAAAAAAATTAACTATTTGCAGAGAAGTCTGTGAGTCAACCAAGGAATAAAGTTGGTGCTGGGGGAACCTGACTCGTGGAAGAACTGTCAGCTGACTGAAGACTTAAATTTCATGGGCTTGGGTGGGAGAGCTTTTTCCTAGTCTCTTCTCATATGGAATAACCATCTTCCCAGAAGATGATTTGGGCATTATCTCTTCTAGCTCATTTGCCTTCAAATTTCTATAAGGAGACTTCTGCCAATTATTATCCTCAAGACTCAGGGATTTTTTGCAAAAATATCAGACAAAGCACTCTCTTTTAGAACACAGGGAACACACTAGAGAAGTTCTGAAAATCACAGTTCTGTGTTGTTTGCAAGTATTTTTTTAGAGTTGACTGCATTCCTGGAATGAACAGGCTCTCTTTCTCCCCAGAACACAAATTGATATACAAGGTCAGGTTAAATAGTATCTAAGTTTTCTTTCCTGTTCTGTATGTAGGAGCTATCTGTTCTAAAAACAAAATTTAACTGTAAATATAATATACCTATAGAAATCATTTTTGAATAAGGAAAGATAATTTGTCTTCATTTTGAGGGAAAAAAAACCAACATAGTAAAATTGAAATGCATGTTTTTTTCAAAAGTTACTGTTGAATACCACATTTATATATATACCTGCAGTCTGGTATCTAAATACTTGAAATATTTTTAAGTTTTTACTCCTAGAATAAAAATAATGATTAATTTCTAATGATTTCAGTGTCATGTCCATAAAAATAATACTGTTACCAGGGGTGACAAGTTTATTCATCCTGTCATTTTTGTGTATTTCTTAAATAGGTTTAAACAAGATTTAAAAAATTTTCCTGTTAAGATGCTATTTGTGATGCTATTTGTTTAGTTCTTGTGGTCCCAGTTTTCCTCCGAAGATATTTGGCTCTCTTAACAGGCAAATTTAAGTCCCAGCTTAAAGCTTCAAACATACTCCTTAATATCCTCTAGATCTCCACTGTTTAGTGGAGGACGTTATAGTACCTAGTTCATGATTTTGTTTTAAATGTTAAATGAGATGACATGTGCAGAGCATCTTACCCAATGCCTAGCACAGGGTGAGCACTCATTGAATGGAAGCTCTACCTGTCATTTTCAGATTTCTTCTTCTTGAGCCAGAAGGCCTGAGTTGTGGTCTGCTTCTTTCACTAAACTAGCTAGGAAGCACTCTGTACTTCAGGTCCCTCATCTGATTAATGGGTATAAAAAATCTTCTTGTGGTTGATGTAAAAGTCAATATGCTAATACATGTAAAACACTTATGAGTGGCTCCAAATTTAGCTTGTTAGAGAATTGGCAAGAATGTAACTTTTCCATCCCTTCACAGGCAGATGGGTGACTGACTTTGGCAAATTTTATAGGATGCCACAAGCATCTTCCTGTTGTTCTGCCAAGATGTGGGGAAACTCTTCCTGGAAAAGTCATTCCTTTGAATTGAGCTTCCAAAAAGTCCATATTAGAATTCAAATACTTTCTCTGGGTTGAATAGCACATTACATAATAGCTTCTCCAGATTAAAGCTGTTTCTCCTAAATATAAGACTCTTT